AAAAAAAAAAAAAAAAAAAAAAAAAAAAAAAAAAAAAAAAAAAAAAAAAACTGAAATGTAACTTGCAAGGGTCACTAAAAATGGAATGAATGAAATGCAAGGCATGAAAAAATTAATAACTTAACTAATGAAGTTTACCTAAATATTTCCCAAGCTTTCCATAATTACAAGCAAATTTAACTCTGAACTAAAAAGTTAACCCAAAAGGATCAGATTTTACCCTATCAGATTCACGCGGAGACGGAGGGTAATCTCCACGAAGAGCTCGTACATCTGACCTAAATCAGCGGCGTTACCATGGGAATACAGTACTGTAGAAGTGGCCTTGGGGTGGCTGATGTGCACCGCCACAACCTCGTTTCCCCGGCGCGTCCTCAGCCTCAGAACATCGGCACCCTCCCGCCACGGAACCTCGGGTATGCTATGCGCTCCGCCGCGTAACTCGTCTACCCCCACCGTGTACGACGGCGGGGTCGGCGGAAAGAAGGCGAACTTAGCAGCGATCGATGACGTCACCCCACCCATTCTTTTCTCCCCAGGCAGACAACTATGCCACTCTCTTTTGCGGCAGCTCTGCAACATATGTAGCAAAATTCATATAGAGAAGCTTGCAACTTCTGCTTCGTTCTAGGTTTTACCTACTCGAACAAGGGGCTAACGGCGTCAATAGTGGTGGCTGGGAGGCGGCGCGTGCCGTGAAAAAAAATGAGTGGCGAGAATGGGGAAAGCGAAATAGAACTGCGGTTGTATCTAGAGCTTCCCGAACCATTGTTTTGAGACCGACACCAGCCCGGCGGGTCGACCTGATCGGGGCTGAGAGGTCGAGACCGTCGACCCGGGTACTAACAAGACTAGGTCAACTTGATTTGACTCGACCATAAAATCTATATATATATATATATATGGGTTGATTCAAATGCGGCTCACTCTTAAAATGCGGCCGTGAGACTCAATTTGAGCCGTCAATAAAACACTCGCAAAAATAATCTAACTGCGCGCAATTAGATACATTATATATATATATATATGTGAAACACGTACAGTTCAAATCGGAAACAATCTCCTTCGCGCAAAAACTTACACACAGAATCGCGAGAAAATCTTCCCAATCTCAACTTTCCTTCTTAATCTGATTACCTTCTCAATCTCAACTTTCCGACATAGTTAATCGCGCAATACAAAAAGCAACGATCGAAGGATTACTGATAAAGTAGGATTAAACTGCAACGACGATGGACGTTATATCAACAGAGGTTGAAGCATCTCTATTGCCGACATTACTGGCAGAAGGTATTGAATTGATTTTGATGTTGATTTTGATTTTAATATCAATGTTGTTGATCCTAATTTTGACGCAATAGTTGAAATTTAAATTATTCGAGGTTGATGAAGCTGATGTTGTCTATTTTGATCTTAATGAAATTGTTTTTGATGAAAAAACCAATGTTAGTCACAAACTTTGATTTACGATTTAATCGTCGATTTCTGAAATCTAGCACGCATGATCAACTATCATAGCAACCAGGTACAACTAACCTAGCATGAATATACAACTAACCTGGCAACCACAAAACAAGTAACGTGGCAATTGGACATAACTAACATAGCAACATGATAGAAGTACCCTAGCAACACAATACATCTAACCTAGCACCTAGAAACAACTAACCTAGCAGAAAGATAAAACTAACCTTGCAAGTTAAAAACACATAACCTTGCAACTGGACATAACTAACATAGCAACATTATAGAAGTACCATAGCAACACAATACATCTAACCTAGTACCTAGAAACAACTAACCTAGCAGAAAGATAAAACTAACCTTGCAAGTTAAAAACACCTAACCTTGCAACTGGACATAACTAACATAGCAACATTATAGAAGTACCCTAGCAAACACAGACTACTAACCTAGCAAATTAATATAACTAGCCTAGCAAACATCAGACAAGTAACCTAGAACCAACAGAAAACTAACCTAGCACCAACAGTCGTCCAACCTAGCAACAACATACAACTGACATTGCAATGGGATATAACTAACCTTGCAAGGCTTTATAACTAACCTAGCGCCAACAGTCAACTAACCTAGCATCAGCGGACTACTAACCTAGCAACAGCATATAATTAACCTAGTAACTAGACACAACTAACCCAGAAACTAGACATAACTTTCACCTTGCAGCTATTGCAATTAATAAGTGGCTTATGAATGATTCCTATTATATTTTGCAGCATGTATTACACATGGGGAATGCCAATTCCAGTTGATGATATCCCCAAATTCAACAAAGTATTGGATACCAATTGTCAAAGAAGATATAAAGCCTAAAGTTGGCTTGATCTTTGAAACCCTTGAAACTGGACTGCAGTATTACAGAAACTATGGAGCAAACGGTGGATTTGATGTCCGTATTAGCTCGAACAAACGTTTTAGAAGTGGGATGGTCAGAAAACAACTCATAGTTTGCAGCAGAGAAGGATTTAAACCACAGTCGAGGGCAAATAATCCACAAGGAGGAGGAGTTCAACGAGAACATGTTTCAAAAAGAGTTGGCTGCATGGCTCGGGCAGTGTTTGAATATGATGATGGAAAAGGATACAAAATTACATGCTTTGAAGAAAAACACTGCCACAATCTGACTTTGGAAGCACATTATCTGAATGCAAACAGACAGTTGAATTATGGCCACCAGAAGTTTGTCCTAAATTGTGTAAAATCCAACATTGGAATGGCTAAAACACACAGGTTGTTCAAAGAAATGGTTGGAGGATATGAAAATGTTGGTGCTCTGTCAACGGATTTCAAAAACTTCAAAAGAGATCTTATGGCTTACATGTCAGGGGCAGATGCACAACTCATCGTACAAAAATTTCTCAGCAAGAAAGAAGTTTACCCGGACATTACATTTGAATATGCAGTGGATGAAGAGAAACAATTAAGCCGAATCTTTTGGGCAGACCAAATATAAAAAAAAAATTATCGCATGTTTGGGGATGTTGTTTCATTTGATGCAACCTACAACACTAACAGGTACACAATCATTTCACTTGACTTGAATCTGATTTATATGAAATGTAATGTGTGAATTAAACTGACTTTTACAACTAGATATAACTAAGCTAGCAGTAGCATAGAACTAACCTAGCAATAAAAGACAACTATCACTGCAACTTGATAAGAGTAACCCAGCAGGGATATATAACTATCCTAGCACCTTCATATAACCAACCTTGCAACACCAGACAACTAACCTTGCACACACAAGACAACTAACCTAGCACCAACAGACAGCCAAACTAGCAACAACATACAACTAACTGTTATCATCCGACTCGGCAAGACGCTGTTAAGAGGTTTTGAGCATCCTATTAAACGCGATTAACAGTTAAACCGACATGAATCATAACCGAACCGATCTACACCAAAGAACCGGTCTGAACCACCAAAGACCGAAGTGATCGACGATTACCGAGGTCAACATCCACCGAGGACAACATGAACCGAGGTCGTCACCTCCTTAAGCAGGTGACAAGGCATCTACGAGAGGCTCTCCTACTCCACAAGATCTGTCATCATTTACGTGGGGCCCCCTGCCTCGAACCGCCCATAAAAAGTCACTTTATTCAAAAAGTAGTACACGGATCCCAATGTCTCAACCCAAAACTACTATAAATAGCGGACCTATGACAATTGTAAGAGGGATCTCTCGGTTTTTCTAAACATTACCGAACTGTAAACCCTTTACTACGTAACACGTAAAAGCCCATCACGGCTCTTCACCTCGGTTGACCTCGGACCGGGGCCATTGTTGATTCAACCTTACATGCTTTACGTTCAAATCATTCCAAATTACTCACTTAATCATATATTACATCGTTGTTAAGAATTACATAACGACACTAACCTAGCAACAAAATACAACTAACGTAGCACCACTGGGCAACTAACCTAGCAGCAAGTATTATACTATTTAAAAATTTCATTTATTGTTCTGATTTTCTTTATATCTTTAAACAGGTACAGAATGGTGTTTGTACCATTTACAAGAATAGATAACCACAAAAAGTGTGTCACATTTGGAGCTGGGTTAATGATTAAAGAGGATGAAGCATCATACATTTGGTTATTGGAAAATTTTTTGAAAGCTATGGGAAGTGAACCATATTACATTATCACCGACCAAGATCCTGCTATGAAGAATGTAGTTCGGGCAACTTTCAAACAGGCAAGACATCGCCTGTGCATGTGGCATATCATGGAAAAGGTAAAAGTAAAGGTTCCTACATTAGCCAAGGATAATAGTTTCATGAACAGGCTAACTGAAATGGTGTGGGATATTTACATGAATCCCGAGGAATTTGAAGAAAAATGGGGAAAATTGATGAATGATTTTGCATTAACAGAGAATCAGTGGTTTACCACAATGTTTCAGATTAGAAAATCATGGATCCCCACATACTTTAAGGATGCCAAAATAGGTGGCCTACTGAAAACAACTTCTAGGTCTGAAAGTGTTAATAGTTGGTTCGGAGGTTACAAATCTGAAAGTGCAAACTTAGTTGAGTTCTTTATGCATTTTGAAAGTGCAATGGATGCGCAAAGGCATGTTGTAAGCAAGCTGGATCATGAATGTGTGCATGCACCTCCTGAGTGCAAGACACCGTTGCAAATTGAAAAACATGCTGCGAAAGTTTACACGAAAACAGTGTTTTCAGAGGTGCAGATGGAGATTGAAGCAGCATGTTTTAGATGTGTGACTGTGCATATCGAAAAGGTGGATGAAACGACCAGATATAAGGTTGTAGAAGTTGGTCGAGATGGGGTCGAATTCATTGTTAATAAGTGTGGGGATTTGGTGGATTGCAGCTGCAAGATGTTTGAGCAGTTTGGATTGTTGTGTCATCACACAATAATGCTAGTGAAGGATTTAGAGAGAATACAAGAGATGTACCTCCTCAACCGTTGGCTGAAGGCTGCTTCTTCTGGACATGGGATTGATAACGCAAGACTTAATCCACTCGACGGAAAAAGTCACAGAAATGCATATCTAAACAATCTATGGTCTGATTTTTATTGCTGCATAAGTCTTGCTGAAGGTAACAAGGATAAATTGGAACAACTATCGAGGATTATAAATGAAGAAAAGAACCATTTGTTGGGGGCACAACAAGTTTCGAGTTCAATCCTAAGTAAAGAAGCTGTGATACAAGAATTCTGTGGATCCGTTTCGAATCTTGATGTTGATATTCTGCCACCAAAGCAAGCAAAGAACAAAGGGAGTGGAAGCACGACTAAAAGCCGGCTGCTGTCACAAAGAGAAAAATCCATCAAAGAAAGTCAAAAGCTGAAAAGATGCTGTGGAAAATGTGGAGAAGTGGGAAATCATAATAGTAGAACTTGTAATAAGACTATGGAGTGACATATCTGCTTGTAATAAATAGTTGTATATGAATTTTTTATGTGTTGCCACGGCATAGTATTTTTCCAGAAAACGTAGCATCTAAATTGAACTAACCTTGCACTAACTGACTACTAACCTTGCACTAACTGACTACTAATCTGGCACCAATATACAG